ACATCAGCAATAGCTCGTTAGTAAATTTGTATATGCTCAATAAATATGAGAACACCTGACGCTACTGTGATTTTAACCATGTTACGTCACTTCCCGAAAGCAGATGGTAAGAATTTCGAGTGGTGTCCCTATTTCTTCCCAGTTGGATTCCAGCTCTTAATCTGAATGAATGTGGGCCAAAGCTAGGGAGCATGAATGCCCCTGTGTTCTGAGGTTTGATGCTTGGATTCAAACCTTGCCTTGGATGCTTACTCTCAGTGTGACTTGGGCTACTTGCTCATTACCTTCTAAGTCTCAGTCTCTACATTTGTAAAAGGAGGATAATAATAATACCTTTCTCTTAGTTTTATTGAGAAGATTAAACAAGGTAAGCCATGTAAATAATTGAACAAAATGCTTAAAATGTAGTATGTGTTCTCTTCCTTTTCTGAATTCTCACAATGCCTGTTATTTAAAGTGTTTGCTTTGGTTCATAACTGAATTTTCCATACATTGTCTCAATATTTATACTCTAAGTGGCTTGATGATAAGGATATTAGCTTATGCAGGTGCTCCTTAAGCCATGAACAGGCTGGTTGCCTAATGTTCATACGTGAGGCATTTGGGGAGTTGCAATGCATTTTTCAGTAGAATCTTACCCCAATCCACAAATGCACATCTAAACAATGAAAGGGCTAATAATAGTTATACTATTGTACGACTACTACCAGCAATAGTCACACTGTATTGTCTAACCACCCCCATAACAATATGTCTATTGGAAAACCCATTTACTGTTCTTATGTGGACTCCTTTTGCCTATAGAGATAAATAACCTACATAGATAAATAGCCCCAGCTTTGGACTTAAGTCTTGGATTTGAGTCTCAGCTTGCATATTTACTAAACTCTGAACTTTATTCAATTTAAATTATATGGGCCTTCATCTCCTTAGAATTGTCAACATCCTCAGCAGGTGACTAAAAAAATAAATATTGATTAGAAATATCTTTGTAAACCCTTAATACCTGGGAAAAGCATGAAGAAATAACAAGTGATGCTGATGATACTTTGACTATGGTGCCCTCTCTACTCTTACAAAGATATTATGCACAATCTATGCTTTGTATAAGCTTTATGATTCTTCATGGAAATTCCTGAAACAGGTATTAGAAGTAATTAGTGAAATTGATTTCTGTCAGCACCACAATTGCTATTTATTTCCACCACTGACCAAATATGGAGATGGCCATATTATATCAAGGATGCTAAAAGCTGCCCTTAAGTAACTCCCCCACTAGCCTGCTATGGGGTTAAGTTGCTCTAATGGTATTATTTCTTAAGGGTTTCTAGTGAAACTATAGTTCTTCTTTTTTTTTTATAATCTGGGTCAAGGCTAATGCGTTATCCTAGGAGGGTTCATATATTAGGTAGTTAACATATTAGCAGGGGTTATTGTCTCTGATTAAGCCATTACCACCCACTGTCCTCTAGAAAAGAAAAGGATCCTGGGGGAATGGGGTACATGATGTGCTCATTTTGATGAAAAAGAGGCAAAATTAAAAGCTTGAGACTAAGTTTGGGGCTAGTTAAATTCTTGGTACCATGGCTTCCAGGAACTAAATCATTGAGATTGGGTTTTTAGAAGAGGCTTCAAGAAAAGTAAATCCTGTTAGGTGCCTGAGTGGCTCATTCGGTTAAGTGTTTGACTCTTGATTTCGGCTCAGATCATGATTCATGGTACGTGGATTCGAGCCCCACCTTGGGCTCTGTACTGACAGTGCAGAGCCTGCTTGGGATTGTCTCTCTTCCCTTCTCTCTGCCCCTCTCCCACGCATGCTCACGCGTGAGGGCTCTCTCTCAAAATAAATAAACTTAAAAAAAACTGCAAAAAAGAGTAAAACCCGATTTATTATCTTTTGCAAGGGCCAGAATTTGCTTACATGCTGGATTTAATATGCAGTTAAGCATAGGATTTATATCAAAATATTAAATATTAAGGCCCTTCAGATTCCTTTAAGACTTAAAACTAGTGGTTAAACTTCCTATCAAAGAGATTGCTTCCTTTATCATCAATACATGGAACTCATTTTGTGAAATTTGTTTCAGTTTTCATTTAATTTCATATATATACATCCACATTCACATACATCTATTGTAGAATAATTTTCAATTTAAAACAAAACATCACTTCTTCATATTTTCTAATATTTTGGGGCCCTGGAAAAATTTCATCTCATAGACCTAAAGCTGTAAGATGATAATATTGAAATGCAAGTCACAAGCTTCAATTAGGTACAATCAGAAATCATGCGGTGACTTCATTAAGTATCATTAAGAATGATCAAAATATTGCTCTTAGGAAAAATACATCAAAAGCATTGCATTTACACATTGATTAAACAGGATCTGCAATTTCTAAAATCTGGTACGAGAAAAAAGAATGGAGTAAATTAAGTGCTCATATCCCACTTAGCAACAAGGGAGTGCTTAGCAACTGGAAAAGGAAGAAATAAAGGGAGATGGTGGAAAACAAAGTATGATCAGCCTGGAAACTGGGGGAGGAATCGAAAAATGACAATGAAACTAATTGGGGCTGGAAGAGAGGTTGCTGTCCCAGGAGCAGTGGGCAAGTTGACGTCAGCCTGTTCTGTATAAGATCTTTATTTTCATTTTTAGCTTCAGGAAATTAAGCTCATGATTAGAAAGCAGGAGCACCAGGAGGACTCTGGCCAAAATGGTGAGTGTGGCCAGAGTCATCTTTCGTGACATGCATGTGACCATTTATAAACCTTTTCCCTTTTACTCAGACACAGGTACATAGCCCAGGTCTCAGTTCCACAAGGTCTTAAGGAGGCTTAAGGTAGATTTGATATTGAATCCCTTTGAGAACTCTTTAATGGTATTATTGTTCTGATTACTCTCCCTGATCCCTTTGCCCTGCATTTGATACGCCCTCCCTGGGAAGCCCCATGCACCCCATGGCTTCAACTCCCATTGTACACTCATAATTCTCAACCCTTCTTGTTCTCTCAGAGACTTCCCTGTGCTTAAATCTGTGCCCATGATTCTTCCACAAAGCACATAACCTAATAGGACAAACTTCATTCTCCCCACACTCTTGCTCCCTACCTACATTTACCATTTTAGGAAGACTTCATCCATGCAGGCACCCCATCCAGAAACCTCCCTATATCTATCTCTTTACCACCCAACTCCAGTTGTTAGCGAATTTCATTGGTTCTTTTTCTGAAATAGATGTCAGATCCTCTCTTCTTCACAATCAATTTGAGATTAAAAAAACAAACAAAAAACCAAAGAACAAATTCATCCTCCTTCACCATGAGCAAAATCCAAATACTTAGCCTCACAGGAAAGTTCTTCATCATCTGGCCAAACTGATGCTTCCTTTTAACCTTGGTACGTCCACTTCCTACTTGCACTTAGAGCGTGTTCAGTCCATTTCAAGTGTGTCCTCGGTCCTGGAATGTATCATGTTTCCTGACAATTCTTGTGTAAAACTCATGGCGTGTTCTTCTTTAGCATGTCCTTCCCTTTCTTTGAAACTAAAAAACTTTCACAGGGTCTTAGTGCTTCCCACTCCATATCATTCCTAGACTGGACGTATTGTAAAATCCCATACAGATTTTTGTCTATCACAGAAATCTCAAAGGAACAGACATTTGCAATCTAACTTCAGACATTTCAGTACCACCAAAAATAGCAGGCACTCAACAAATACCTGCTTAATTAAATTCAATATATGGACAAGGATCCAGAATCCCCCAAATCAGAACTTAGGGAGGAGGAGTAGGAAATGTTTTCAGCAAACATTTTAGGCTTTGCAGGCTATGAAGTCGCTGTGGCAACAACTAAACTCTTCCACTGAAAGTAGCCATAGGCCAATACAAATTGAGCATGGCTGTGATCCAAGAAAACTTTATTTGTGGACACTAAAATTAGAATTTCATATAATTTTCAGTTGTCACCTAATAGGATTCTTTTGATTGCTTTCCAACCATTTAAAACTGTGGAAGCAATTAGCTCAAGAACCGTATAAAAACACTCAGCCAGCTGGATTTAACCCACAGGCTGTGGTTTCTGATACCTGCCACAACTTATCACCTGTTTCATCTCCTTATTTGGTTAACACTTTATATGAACTCTCATTTCAGGTTTTGCCATCTACAGTTTGTCTAGTGCATATATCATTTAACATAATTCATATTCATGTCATTGCCTTATCTAGCCATCATTTTGTCTATGTCCCAACCAGAAAGTCCCCCAAGCCACTCGTTCAGATATACCTTCTTTGCTAGTGGTGTAACTGTTGACCTCCAACACTTGTTAAGGTGATGTACATTGAACATGCAAAGATCTTGGCCCATGCATTCTAGCAATTTTAGAATAAACACAGAGCTTCTGTGTGAGCCAGTGTTTCACAATCATTTACTACTTAGGCATATCCCATATTGTCACAATTAATTTTTCAGTAACTACTAGCTTCCTGAGAATCTGAATTTTTTCCTGAATTGCCATCTTCTCATCTGTCAAAGCAATTTCTTCCCCCATCTAAAGCATTTTAATTTTTTTAAACAGAGAATCGCTTCTAATCTTGTTAATATTACTAAATTGATCTTACTAACCTTGCCTCCCCCTCTCCCCAGTATGAAATTGTGAACCCCCATAACTTCTGTGGTAACTCCCTTTCTGCCACCTTCAGTATGGCCAACACACCAAGACACATTATGATTCTGACTTAGTCTCTGTTCAGGCTACTGTAACAAAATGCCATCGACTGGGTCCTTATGAACAATAGAAATTTATTTTTGAAATGTACTTCTGTTGCCTGAGAAGTCTAAGATCAGCATTCTGGAAGATTCAGTGTCTGGAGGGGACCCATCTCCCGGCTCACAGACAGCCATCTTCTCTCTGTTCTTACATGTGTTTTCACAAGGAGTGAAAGAACTCTCTGGGAACTCTTAGAAAGGCACTAATGCCATTCATGAGGGTTCCACCCTCATGACCTCATCATTTCCCAAAGGCCCAATTCCAAACATTGCCATGTTGCGAGTTAGGTTTCAACATATGAGTTTTGGGGGCACACAAATATTCAATTCATAACAAATACATGTAATTATACTTAAAAGAAGGATGACTACAAAAGGAAGAAGAGGAGGGGAAATAAGAAGATTAAAAGAATACAGAAAGGAGGAAGCAGTAAGAGGGAAAGGAGATCAAAAAAGAAAAAAAAAGGATGGTTATATAATACAATATATATTTAAAAATTATAATCTATAAGCCTCTTTCACAACTATTATCTTCTACGAGCTGGGAAATGAGAAAAAAAGTAGTTTTAAAATGACCTGGAGAATTTAATCAGTCAAAAAGAGAAAGTAGGCTCAAATCACATTTTTTTTTAACTCTTTTGCTTGAATCATACTCTGTTCGAAAGTCTGATAGAAGATATTTCAGGCTGACAGTTTCTCTTCCTCAAGTTCCATCTGTGTTCAGACTCTGGGCATCCTGGGTCTTTTTATCTGGATAGAAATCAAATCCTAGTACAGCATCAGAATGTTCTACCCTCTTGCAATGGCATTTAGATTCCTCTGCTGCTATTTCAAAAGACGTCCAAACCTATAAATATTAAGCTATGTTTTGGGTCCCTAACCTTGAGGGAGGGCAGATGCCATTTAATTTTGCCAAGGGAAGAGAAAAGGTGCCAGTGTAGGCAAGGGGAAGAAACAAAATAAAACAAAACAAAACCAAAAATGTCAAATCTGATTGATTAAAAACCAGGTAGGCAAATCAGCAAGGGCTGGTCCAACGTCACTGGAGAGTGAGGTCAGACAGGGCTGTTTTAAAATTATTTGGTATTTTCAGAAATTGATTACTTAGGGAGAGCATTAAGAAGTAGCTGTGCGCCTTCATTTAATGGGCCAGTGCCTCTCTTACAGGGCTGGAGTCGTCACATTCAATCTCATCTACTCCTTGTTAAGTTGTGCTTTCTTCTGGAGCGTGTTTATTTATTACAGATGCTATAAGCATAAACGACAAACTAGAATAATAAATAATTCCCTAAATGGGATTTTGTGAGCAACACCTCCCCGCCCATCTCTCTACTCCCAACACCCAATGTGACAGACACCATTGCTTATAAGCCTGTGAATGTCTGTGGGCCTGAGACACAAGTTCTTTTCTGTCCGAGCATACATTGCTGTAGGTAGACAGCAACTGATTGGAGAGAACTGAGGGACACTGGGATGTCCTCCTATTCCCCAAAAGTGTTCCTCAGTCATCCACTCCTTGAAGGGACAGCCCATTGTTTCTTTGAGTTGGGAACACCCTTTGCAAATATAAACAGTCTTGGGAGAAGCATCATTTGTTATTGCAGTCATATGTATACAACCTAGGGTAAATTAATTTTGTTGATCATTCTCCCACCCTGTCAGCTGGAAACAGGCCCTGAAAGGAAAGGTTGCTGAGAAGGAAAAAAAGCGAGGAAAATTTTGGAGTATGGGTCATGGACCAAGGAGCTGTAGTTGGGTACCACCTCATCATGTGAGAAGAGAGAAAGTTTAGTGAAAATGCACACACACACACACACACACACACACACACTCCACTCAAAATCAAAAGTCGACATTCATCTTTAATTTCAAATCTGATAGCTGACTAAAGATGCCTTCATTTATCCAGAGATCATTTGAAAACTCCTACTATGACATGGTGAGAGTCCTCACTAGAAACTCAGCTGGCTTATTCCTACACACATTTTCTTCTTTACTTCATCGACAGTGAGAACACACCATCCACATCCCTCTCTTCATAGCTCTACAACTTTTAAAGTTGATCTCTAACTGCAATTCCATGAGCCCAGTCACCTATTTCTTTGACTAAAATTTTCTTAGTCTGATTTCCCACTGATATTTGTGATGTTCAATTCTATGTTTGTACTTGTGTTCCCGGATGATTTCATTTCCCACATATAGATTACAAACTCTTTATGACAATAAGTGTGTTATGTTTCTTGTATCTCCAGCACATGGCTGCATCCAGAACCCAATACCTGTATAAAATCAAAAAATCACTTATCCCCTATTCTTTAAAAACGCACTCCATGGTGGAATTTGGATGAGGCGCATGTATTGGAATCACTGACAATTTCCACACTCGTGGTGTAGAACTGAATACTCCTCCCGATACCATAACTTTATGGATTTTATATATCCCTCCAAAGTGAATCTTACAAGTATCTTTCTAAAAAGGCAAGAGAATTCCTTTATGATGTTTACTTCCTAAGAGTAAAGATATAAAATGTACCAATGCATGTAGCATCCACTGGTGAAAAATGCAATACTACTTAGGCTTGTATTTTTCAGCTATCCAGCAATGCACTTACTTTCTTTCTAATTAGGCATTCTAAGAATCTAATGTCCTCTTGTGTTTACCCTGCAACAACTGTAACCCAGTAGCCTGACATCACAGTATGTCTCCCCAGAAATAATTACTCCATGGCAAAGGCAGCAATGTGAGTGTATCCTAAGACAAAACAGCAAGGAGGGGGGGACCCAAAGGCAGCACTTCCTATTCAGATACAAACAGGGTTCACAATTAACACATCACCAATTTTAATAAACCTGATGAAAGGTAAGTAGATTTGATATGAAAGTCAAATATACTTGAGATTCCCCCTTCTCCAAGAGTCCCTCTTTAAATTAAGACTTTGCCAGGTGATTAAGAAGAATGCCAGCGCTTCAAAGGGAAGCAGAGCCTTGTTCTTTGCTGCTCCACGGGCGACCAGCTCCCTTTCCCTTCGGTCCAGATGGAGGCTTTGTTCTCCCGAAGTTGGTCAGGTGCTGTGCCTGTCCAAAAAAGGGAAGCGAGCGAAGCTTTAGGAGCCCGCACCTGTTTAAAAAGCAATGCCGCTCCCTCAGCTCCAAAGCCCCGAACATCAAATGCCTCCCTTTGCCAGGCAGCTTGGCTATTCCCCAGGCGTTTTCAATCTAGTTGGGTAAAACAAAAATTGCATAATTTGTCATTATTTTCAAGGAATGAGATGTGCCTTCCACAATCCCTTTCGAGTTAAATACAATGACGCTGAGCTTCCCGTGAATGCCAATGCCTTCTTTCTCAGAAAGAATAGACATAAAGAATGGGAAAAGAAACAACCAATTGATTGCCTGTAATTTGCTCTGGTATTTGTTATTGATGTATTCTTTGTATGCATTTTAGGGATAGGTAGCAAAAAAATTATTTTTCCAGGTCTTCCATAAAGAGAAGCCAACCCCTCTGAAAAAAGCCGGGACAGGAAGCCAGGACTTCTGAGTCAACTTCAAGATTCAAAACAAATAAATCACATCAATTTAGGCAAGTCACAAGTCCTAATCATTCAATTTACTCATCTTTAAAATATGGATTAAAATTATCTCCTCTAAATAGATCCCATTTAATTATGAAGCTAAAGTGAAAAAAAATTGATAAGAAAGTGCTTTAAAACATTTAATATTCGCTATAAATGTAAAGTAGTTTGAATGAAAAATAAGGAGTGGGACAGGACTTATAGACAGGGATCCTATCGCTCTTTCTAAGGTGAAAAGCTTCAAATCCAGGTGGAAAGGGGAGTGAGGAGCAAAGAAAACAACTCAGAACCCTCGTTGGACAGCAAGGGCATCCTAAATCTCATCTATTAAGAGCAGAGAAAAACACCTAAAAACCGCCACCATATTTTTTTGTGTACAGTGCCTTTCTGTTGCCACTTGGTTACAACAATAGTGGAGAAAAGTAGGCCCATAAAGCAAGATTGATTGCTGGGAAGATGATCAATTGCTTCTGTGAAAGGGGAAAAAACTGATAAATGTTTTTTTTTCCCTCTCTTCACAACCTTTTGCGAAAGCTGTGCAAAATGTGTCATGCATAAAAAGTATGCAATTTTCATGTAATTAGAGGAACACAAGATGAAAATGAGTTCCATCAGAGCAATCAAGGATGGTAATGTGGTATGTATTTGTCAGTGCCTATTTGTCATGAAAGCAAAACCCAACAAGTTATATATTTTATTTCATTTTAACTCTGAAAAACATAAATGCCATTTTGCCATGGCCAAATCTATGAATTTCAATAATCCCCCCCCCTTTTTTTGGAACTGCAGATTAGATCATTTTGCTCTTTTAAAGAATAGAATACTATCTTATGAAAAACACTGAGATTACAGGACAGATTTATTCCACGGAGGGTCAGATTTACGACAGGAGGTGATAGGTTTACAGTTTGCTATACAAGAAACACACTATAATTTATTTTCTCTAAAAATACACTTGCATCTTACACTAGCATGTGCTTCTGATCCCATCCCCATACCTCCAAAACCAACAGTATTAGGTTTTTACGTTCTTCTTGGGCAAAAGGACATAAATTTTTCTTCTTTACTCTTACTTTTCCCTCCCTCCCTTCCTCCTTTTCTCTCTTCCTCGCTTCCTCCCTCCCTGCCTTCTTTTCTTTCTTCCTGCCTTCCTTTCTTCCTTCGCTCCTTCCTTCTTCCCCATTCATCCAGTTATTTATTCATTTATTGTGCTATTTGAAACCATTTACTGGACATCAGAATTGTGCCAAGCATGCTAAATTCTGGTAATATAAAAGTAAAAAAACACCTGCCCCATGTTTTCAAGCTGCTTTCACTTAGTGGGGACAGAGACAACCGAGCAATCCATGCAGTAGGATAGCGTCACATGAGGATTAGATTCAGGAGTGTATGGGGTTAGTTTTTGCTCTGATTGGCAAAGCTAGTGGGAAGATTGCACTGGAATAGCTCAGTCCTGCTGTAGGAAGTAGTTAGGCCAGATGTGGGAAATGGCTGTCCAGGCAGAGGAACGAGTAAAGGCAAAAGCTGCGAGGAAAGCTTTGTGAAAGTGCAGCTAGTCAATTATTTCTGTGGTGGAAATTGTGAGAAGGCAAGTAATAAGGCCAATGAAGTGAATTAGAAAAGGACAAATGGGGAAGATCCTTACAGGCCAGGCTGATGTCTGTCTCAGTGCAACAGGAAGGCTTTTAATGTTTAAAGCAGAAAGATGGTATAATCAAATCTGCATGTAGAAGATGCTCCAGCGGCAGCGGGGAGATGGATGTGAGTGGGTAAAACCAGTTAGGCGTCTATTACAGTAGCCCAGCTGAGAGCTAGTGACAGTTGGAGCCAAGGTAAGCAATAGCCAAATCTGAGATACCTCACAGAAGAATTTATGTGATTTAGAAATGGATTCTAAATAGGGATGGGGCAAACGGAGGACTTCAAGTATTGAACACAGGCAACTGGGTGGATAGTCATACTCTTCAGTAACTTGAGGAACACAGGAAATGGAGCAAATATTACTTGGAAGATAATGAGTTACAATTTGGACCTGGTTAATTTGAGATAATGGTGGAATGCTAGATAATCATTGTATACAAAATCTGGAGAGTAGGAATCCAGACACTTTACCCTTCCTGAAATATTGTGAGCTTGTAAGGTTGTTAGACCGAAGGTTGTCCAGAAAACACTCATTTATTCATTCAAAAATATATATTGAGGGGCACCTGGCTGACTCAGTCAGTTAAGCGTCTGACATCTGGCTCAGGTCATGATCTCATGGTTCATGGGTTTGAGCCCTACTTCAAGCTCTCTGCTGACAGCTCGGAGACTGGAGCCTGCTTCAGATTCTGTGTCCCTCTCTTGCTCTGCTCCTCCCCCACTCATGCGCTGTCTCTCCCTCTCTCAAGAATAAATAAACATTAAAAAATAAAAAAAATAAATTTATATGTAACACCTATAATGTATAAAGAAACAGTAAAGCACAAGAGCTATCTCTGAAATTAGACATTTTTAAACTCAAACCCTACCTCTGCCCATTATGAACTCTGACACAGGGCATTTACAATACCCCGTTAAGTCTCAGGTCCCTTCTCTGTGAAATGAAAGTGATCACATCTACACTACAGAATGAATTATGAGCTTTAAGGGAGAGGAAGCACACCGAGTAACTAGCTCAGGGCCTCACATATGGTTATATAATTAGCATTATTGAGACCCAAGTCACTGAAATGTATGTGAAGTCAACAAATATAAAAATGTTTCCAGGAAATTTGAGCCTTCAAATTATTATTATTATCATTATTATTATTATTATTATTATTCCTTCTATCTAGTGGCAACTAAAGCTAAATAGGTCATCTAAAAACGCTTAGAAAAATTACAATTTGGTAGCTCAATATAGCAAATAACTCTTATTGTATACCCACTATTGAGAAAATATGAGCTATATTTACAATTATGTCAATGCTAGTAATAATGATAATAATAATAGCTAATGTTTATGTAGTGTTTTCCCATTTACTGAACACTTTAACATATATTTGCCTCTAATATTCTTTTCATATAGTGTCCTTTTCTGACTTGGATATCAAGGTATTGTAAACTCAGTTTGGAAGTATTCCACCTCCTATTTTTTGAAAGAGTTTGAGAAGTTTGGTATTAATTCTTCTTTAAATGTTGGGTAGAATTCACCTGTTAAGCCACCTGGTCCTGTACTTTCGTTTCTGGGGAGTTTTTGGATTACTGATTCAATTTCTTTACTACTAATCAGTGATCTATTTCTTCATGATTCAGTCTATGTAGGTTGTATGTTTCTAGGAATTTAATTTTGTAGATTGTCAAATTTGTTCATATAATATTGTTTGTAATAGTTTCTTATGATCCTTTTTATTTGTGTGGTATCAGCTATAATGTTTCCTCTTTTATTTATAATTTTATTTATTTGAATCCTCTTTCTTCTGGGTTTGTCTATTTTATCTTTTTTTTTTTAAATTTTTTTTTAACGTTTATTTATTTTTGAGACAGAGAGAGACAGAGCATGAACAGGGGAGGGGCAGAGAGACAGGGAGACACAGAATCTGAAACAGGCTCCAAGCTCTGAGCTGTCAGCACAGAGCCCGACGCGGGGCTTGAACTCACGGACCGTGAGATCATGACCTGAGCCGAAGTCCAACGCTTAACCGACCAAGCCACCCAGGCGCCCCTATTTTATCTTTTTTTAAAAAAAAACTGCCCTTGGTTTCATCAGCCTTTCTTACTGTTTTTTTTCTTGTCTCTGAATCATTTATTTCTTTTCTGATACAACTAACTTTGGGTATAGTTTGTTCTTTTTCTAGACCCTAAGATGTAGTGAGGTTGCCTATCTGCGATCTCTCTTTTTTCTTAATGGAAAACATTTATTGCTATAAGCTGCTCTTTAGAACCATTTTTGCTGCAGCCCATAAGTCTTGGCATGTTACATTTCCAAGTTCACTTGTCTGAAGATGTTTTTTGGATTCTTCTTTTGACTTCTTCTTTAACCCATGGATTATGCGGGAGCATTTTCTTTAATCACCACACACTTGTGACTTTTCCAGTTTTCATCTTGTAATGAATTGGTACTTTCATACCATTGAGATCAGAAAAAATGCTTGATATGATTTCAATTTTCTTAAATTTAGGAAGATGTGTTTTGTGGCCTAACATATGACCTAGTCTGGAAACTGTTCCATGTGCACTTGAGAAGAACGTGTATTCTGCTGCTACTCAATAGAATGTTCTATGTATGTCGGTTAGATACATTTGGTCTGATACATGGTTGAAATCCAGTGTTTCCCTATTGATTTTCTGCCTGAATGATCTATCCATTGTTGAAAGTGGGGTATTCAAATCCCCTGCTCCTATTGTATTGTTATTTCTCCCTTCAGATATGTTAATATTTGCTTTATATACTCAGGCACTCCTTTGTTCGGTGCATAAATATTTACAAATATTATATCCTCTTGATAGATTGATCTATCATTATATAATGACCTTATTTATCTTTTGTTACAATTTTTGGCTTATAGTCTATTTTGTCTAATGTAAGTATATCCACTTATATGATTTTGTTAAAAGTAGGATGATGATACAATTCTGGCCAATAAGATTGAAAATGATGTCTGGTAGACAGCTTCTGGAAAGTTTTTCTTGGGTTAAAAGGGAAAAAATGTATAAGAAAAGGAAGATGGAAAAGGAAAAATCCCTCATTAAAAACCCAATATAGATTTTTGATGGGCAGGTACCCCCAGTGTGTTACTACTAGCAGAGGAAATCCCATTTGCCCAAACTTGCCACCTGCTCATTATATGAGCATCTCTAGGCTGGGACATCCAAATGACCATCCTTTCAGTAATATGATACCCTGTGCTTTCTATAATACTTTCTGGCAAGTACTTATTTCTTGCTCATAATTTATTTGTTTACTATGGAGGAAGGATTTGGGGTGTGGTTGTTTAAAACTGTTTTCTCACTATCCAACAATCCAATGAGTATTTGACAATTATCAATTTAATATGCTAGAGTAACATCTCTAATTTACATTTCTTTCTTATTTCCTCTTTTATTTCTTCCTTTCTATAATGTGTGCAACATTTGTGTTCTATTCCTCATGAATATACTTCTAATCACTCTCAAGGTAATTTTTCTTTATTTTGCCAATTGCTTACTCCTCTAAAAAAATTCTCTCTCTATCTCTCTCTCTCTCTCTCTCTCTCTCTCTCTCTCTCTCTAAGTTGCATTTTCTTTCACTTTTGTAAACTGGGACAAATGGTTCCCGAATTTTATAATGTTGGAGCATCCTGAAACTAAGGGTTTTGGTGTTACTTCTTCTCTTCTTCGAGGTTAATTTAGTATTTTTTAAAATTACTTATTGTTTTCATTGGTACTTGTTCTATAAAACAATATGCACAATAATTTTTATTTTGCTTTGTCATTTGTCCTTATTTTGTACAGTCATTTAAAGTATGCTTAGAGGGGCGCCTGGGTGGCGCAGTCGGTTGGGCGTCCGACTTCGGCCAGGTCACGATCTCGCGGTCCGTGAGTTCGAGCCCCGCGTCGGGCTCTGGGCTGATGGCTCGGAGCCTGGAGCCTGTTTCCGATTCTTTGTCTCCCTCTCTCTCTGCCCCTCCCCCGTTCATGCTCTGTCTCTCTCTGTCCCAAAAATAAATAAACGTTGAAAAAAAAATTAAAAAAATAAAAAATAAAAAAAATAAAGTATGCTTAGAGAACACTTTCTGATATCAATAACTTAGATGTCAGTAAGCTTTTTCTGTCAAGGCCCAAGGAAAAATTATTTAGGCCACATGTCTCAACTATTCCACTCTGCAACTGTAGCCCAGAAGCAGCCATAGACAATACATAAAAAGATGAGTGTGGCTGGGCCTTACTACTACTTTATTTACCAAAGCAGGAGATGGGCTACATTCCACGGACTGTAGTTTGCTAATGCCTATAAATCTAATCCATTAGTTTTCTTCTTCTTTTTTTAATCCATTAGTTTTCTATATTCTGGGTGGACAGAGAATCCCTTCAGGTTCCCCCAGGTGATTTAACTATTAGAAGTTCTGCAGTTCTAACAGTTTTGGAAAGAAGATCTTGAGGCTCTGAGTACCCCAGCTGTGGTACCTACATCATCTACCCATTCCTAATGTCAAACACGTTACCTAAAATAAAGACTAGATAATGTAAAGTTTTAAGTCTGTAGGTTTATTATAATCAAGGTTTTAATAAGTAGGATTCCATTTCAAGTAATATACATCATCGTGTCTCTTTTCCTCATCCTGTTAAATCAGATTTTTTTCCCTCTAATTTATTTTTACCCACAGGTATATGGAAGTCACAACTTTATGGTCATAACTAGGTCCCTGGCTTCTCACTGCAAAATAAGAGAATATCACCAAAGAGCATATTTTTTACACAATAATGTGGTATGAACTGAAGGATGTACTGCACCTGACTGCATTTTTTTTGGTCAAAAATTATTTGGCTATGTTTATGTGCATCTATTTCAGGACTCTCTATTCTGACTGAGTAATCAAGACAGTGTGGTAGTAGTTATGGAATATATATGTAGATCAATGCCTCTGAAGGTGGGTCACAGGGGAACCCTGTTCATGGTGTTTGCCCTCGGTGCGATCCATTGATCTACATTGATCTACATATATATTCCATAACTACTACCACACTGTCTTGATTACTGTAGCTTTATAGTAAGTACCAAAGTCAGGTCATGTCTGTCCTGTAATTTGACTCTTCTTCCTCAATAATCTGTTGGTTTTTGTGGGTCTTTTGCTTCCCCCTATAAACTTTAGAATTGGTTGTCAATGTCCACAAAATAACATCCCCAAATCTGAATTAGAATTGCATTCAATCTATTGATCAAGTTGGGAAGAATTGACATGTTGGCAATACTGAGTCTTCCCATCTAGGAGCATGAAATGTCTCTCCATTTATTTAATTCTTCTTTACTTTTGTTCATAAGAGTTTTATAGTTTTCTTTAAATAGAGTTTGTACATATTTTATTAGAATTATACGTTAGTATTTCATTTTGGTGGTGCTAATGTAAATGATATTGTATCTTTAATTTCACATTCCATTTGTTAATTGCTGATAAATAGGAAAGTGATTAACTGTTGTATATAAACCTTGTAGCCTGCAGTCTTGTTATAATTGCTTATTAGTTCCAGGAGTTGTTGGTGGTGGTGGTAGTGGTGTTTCTTTTAGTTTTTCTACATATATGGTCATGTTATCTGTGAACAAAGATAGTTTTATTTCTTCCCTCCTAATTTATATACATGTTATTTCCTTTTCTTGTCTTATTGAATTAGCTAGTACTTCCAGTATGAAAAGGGGTGGTGAGAAGGGACTTCTTTACCTTGTTCCTAATCTTAGTGGGAAAGCTTTGAGTTCCTTACAGTTTAGTATAATGTTAGATATAGATTTTTTTAAAGAAAATCTTTATCAAGTTAAGGAAGTTCTCCTTTATTCTTTGTTTATTGAGACTGACTGCATTCTTCTGCCTGAATTGTAGATACAGAGCAGTAGGAAAAGTGACTATTCTTTTTTTTAATGTTTCTCTATTTATTTTGAGAGAGAGAGAGGGAGAAGGTGAGCGGGAGAGGGGCAGAGAAAGAGGGAGAGAGAGAGTATCCCAACCAGGCTCCACAATGTCAGTTTGATGTGAGGCTTGAACCCATGAACCATGAAATGATGACCTGAGCTGAAATCAAGGGTCAGACGTTTAACCAGCCGAACCACCCAGGCACCCTGAAAAGTGACTAGATTATTCTTAAAGCTAAAACAGTTTCATGAACTCAGAAACTCCCAGTGATTTCAGACATGTGACAGTCATCCCTTATTTCTAACTTTACGACAAGTTAATGATGTACCCTGCTATGACCCCTTTACCCCCCCTTTCATTATCACAGGATAGGGCTTTGATTACTGACTTTTTGCTTATTCTGAAACACAACAATCTCTTGCTCCTTAGAAACCCATCTGCTCACATAGTTAATGGCCATTTGCTCTTTTCCTGTTTCTCCTGAGTTACCTTGACTCTTTGCTCATGCCTGTTTATAACCTCTAGCAATGGAAAGTTTCCTAACCTTAGTTTATAGACCCAGAGCCCCAGTTTATTGAAGCTCAATCCTTACCTGGAATTCTCTTGCTAATGTTATATGAGGAAAGTAGACTAAATCTGAACTGTTCATATTTCCACTTCTAAAATGTAAAGAGAGAGCAAATGTTAATGCAAGTAGAGAAGTTTAAAGTAATGAAAGATGACTTAACAAAAAGCAACCAGAAAAAATGAAGAATAGACTCCATGGGATGTATGCATATGCAGTGTGTGTGCATGTATGTGCGTGTACATATGAGTATTTGAAGTTGAATTTCAAGGATTGAAAACTCAGTAAATATAACAGCCTTAATTTTTATGGTAAATTATTGGTGAATAATTTCTCTTGATGAGTCTTGGAAAATATCTTCCCAAAAGGGAAATGAGAAGGATTCCGAATAACCTAAGACAAAGAATGGAAACTAAGACAAAGAATTGTAGGTAAAATTTGGGTTTCTGCCAGTAAGTCTTGAGTAGGATAATTCTATCTCTCTCGATATAAATTACAATCAAATGCATATTATTTCTTATTTAATTGTTAGATAAAACTAGATGAGTTAGATTTGACCTGAAGAGGAGATGAAATGGAATAGTGTAAAGTATAATTTGAGATTTGGGAGGCTATAGGTATACACCTAGATACAGACAAAAATCATTAGAGAGCCCTTGTTAACTCAGCGTCACTACTCTAAGTTCTGGTCTCTGGTCCATGCAAAGATTTCAGGACCATTAAAAGCATATTTTTAAGGAAAATATTACAATCTTCAGTTAGCAGGGGTTTTTGTCCAAGACCCAGATGGAAGGTGTCAACAAAATAAACTTGTCCCCCACCTCTATCTTTACCCCCTATTGATAAACAAACCTATACCACTGGGTTTGTTTATTCCAAAGTGAATAAGCATGTGCTCACCACCAACAAAACATTGCTGGTTTCACACTCCAGTGACTCTAAGGCCATCTGTCCAGGTATTAAGTGTTTTGATTCTTCCTTGACCATAAAATGGTTATCAAGTATGATATTCTGCAAGCTCCATCCACAGACTCCTGACTGAGGTAATGAAGATAGGCTCAAGGCTCTCTATACAGGAGAATCTGAGAACCAGGAATGACATAAAGCAATATGAACACTTAGGAGATAGGAGGCAGAAAATCTGAGTTCTAGTAGGATTATGCTCCAAAATATGTAAACGAAGGTACTTCTGTTAGCTTTAATATTGGTTAAAAGAGGGTGTTGAATATGTGTGTAAACACAGTCCCTGATTGTTCAGTGCACTGTGCTAGGCATCACAGTACACATAAGGATGGGTAAAAGTCCTCACTTTGGAGGGTGTTCAATAAAATTTGGGGTCTCCAACAAGTACACAGGGTGGGATATAAAGCAAGTCTGTACAAAAAGAGAAACTATGCAGAGAGGATGAGAGAGAGGGGATGAAAAAATCTGACATTCTTGAAGAGGGGTTCAAAAACTGGTTGCACTTACTAGAGCAGATCCACAATTCTCGGGCTTTTGCCAAGACTTGATACATAATTTCATATGGGTTCCACACTGCTACAGGCTATGACACAAGTAAAGTGGCTTTGAATTTTACTGGAAAACAATATGAACTCTATCCCTTTCTTTCCTACCCAAAAGTCATTGAGAATTGCAAGTGAGTAAAATCTATAACATATTTTCAACAGAGGGAAATAATTTAACATTTTGAGTAGTTATTCTTATTAGCACTTGTACTTCACCTCAAAGTCAAAGAATCCACACCAATTGAAAAAGGGACAGAGTTTTGAATCTTTGAGGTTTTTTTGGTTAGAAATGAAGAGTAAAACACTAAATAATCATGAAAAAATATTACTAGCATTTTCTATTTAAAAAAAGAGGGTAGAAGATATAATCAGCCATAAATATTCAGCAATTGATTATCAAAAATGTGTACTAGGCTTCTGGATATAATCTGAAATGTAGTTTTTAGTATTCATATAAAAATGGATTTATAATATAATGGAATAAGCAGTTTGCAATCTATCTGATGTGATTACATATCAATATTTATTCTCTCTCCTATCTTCTTTATCTTCTTGATGACATTGTCTCAGCGAGACATTAGGAAAATAGAAAACAAGTGAATTCTAGGTCAATGCTGGCAACTCAAGACACAGATAGTCAATATCACAACTTGAATATATTGAGCCATATTGGGGTAGTTGGACGAGGCTGAGATTCTCTCTACTGAGTCCAACTCACCTGCCCCAATTTGGTCTCAGTGCCTGGGAAGCAACTTGGATGAAAAGGGCATGCATTTGTGAAGCAGATAGAACTGAGATAAAACATGTTTCATCCCTGGGTCATCTTGAAACATTAATTATCCTCCCTAAGCCACACCTTTTGCTTAAAAGGATACTAGCATCTACCTTTTGGTGAATATTATACATTTTGCCTTGCATTTGCCTACTGGAGCTTTAGACCTGCTACCTCACTGCAACCAGACAACCCTGTTTGGAAATCAAATGATATAAAGTATATACATCTATGTAATAAACACTCAATGCATTTTTCTTATCTTAATTTTACACTCACATGATATTAACCCATCAATTTGACATGTTCCACTTAGAGAGCTATGGGAGTTTATATAGAAGAGAAACTTCTGTCCAGGATGGAAATAGTAACTTCACCTTATGATCAATGTATCTATAGGGCAATAGCAAATGTTTTGATTCACTTCGCCTTTACTTTGCTTAATGCACTTAAAACTCTCTTCACCCATACCTTCTATGATAAACAGGCCTACAGTGCCGTTCATAGAAAAATAAATACGTAAATAAATAAATAAATAGATTCCCAGAGCCAGCTTGGAAGAACGTTTGATAATCTGAACCATTACGGAGGTGAAATTTCATTACACAGATGGTGACATCCCGATGTCTATCATCAAAACACAGCAGGTAGAAACTATCAGCCAGGCCCATTCCCTTCTATAAAATTACACTTATATTAATGTCACTCCAGATTTCATTATGCGGAAAATGATATTGCACAGATCTCCAGCACTAGGAGGGCAGCAGGGGGTGGGGGTGTAGGGGGTGGTGAGGGAAGAATAAGGGGGTAGTGATGGGAGGGTGGCAAAAGAAACTGTCTGTAGAGAGGCCATAGAAACAAATTCAGATGAGAGCTGCCCAGGACTGGCAGATAGAATAAAAGTATATAAATGTATATATATATTTTAAAAATTCTCATTGATTCTGCTGCCAGTTCCTGCTGCCTCTTGATTGACTAGCAGCCAGATGTCCTCTGCAAGCCCCCAATGGAATGTTTAAAAGGCCCTCCTGTGGGAAGCAAGGAGATTTGCAGTTAATTTTTATTAATGAAGGATGACAGGTATCTCTGTTTAGCCAACAAGATGTTACACCAGTCCAAGACAAACACTCCTGTGTTTGGAGCAGGCATCCACACTCCCATTGAATGTCTCTCTATCTCTGTCTGTCTCTCTCTCTCATACACACACACACACACACACACACACACACACACACACACACTTAAACATACACATGGGCAGTAGGGAATTGATTAAGAAACAAAGGAAAACATCTCTGTATTTATATGTGTGTATTCTGCTATCGAAAGAGGGAGGAATGAGGATTGCATGAGAGCCTCCTGCGTGGAATGGAGGTGGATGATAGCAAACCCTACTCATTTCTGCTGCTGTCTCCCATTATTCCTTTCCAACCCCACACCTTCTCCTTTCTGTTCACTCCCCCTAGAGAAATTGTTACCCTTTCTGATAGGAATTAGGGTGCCATATTACTTTTCTAATTGGCCCAGCTACCCCCACTTGGGCCTTTCTGTTTTACCTTCCATGCTGTGGCAAGATTGGTCATTCCATAATACAAGCCTATTGAGTTAAGTTTCTGATGAGGCCTTCCAGGCCTCTTCTGATTTATCAGATAAGTGAAAATTTCTCACTATGACCCTTGGGACACATTATATTACAGAACCTGACTACATCTCCAGGTTTGGTTTCTTTCTGTGCCTATTTGGTTTGCCCTCCTTATTATTTTTGTTTGTTTGTTTTGTTTTATTCTTCCTATTCACATGGATTTCTCATCTTTCTAAACTTGGCTATAGACTTGATAATGTGAGGATTTCCTCCCTAAGATGTACCCTTCCTTCTGCAAATGATCATTGATTATTCACCAGTGTTAGGGATGTATAAAATAATACTAAAATAATACTTTTGGCAATTTGATTTCATGTCCTATTTTAACCCCATTATGCTGCTCCTTTGATGTGCACTACCTTTCCTGCTCTAAACCCACGGAGGAAGTATGGTATTCTGCACTTGATGACTTGCTTATATCATCCCTTCCTAGGAAATAGTCATCACATATATCTTGGCTTGAATCCTACCCAACCTTAAAGAACAGCTCATCCTATCTTCTCTATGAAAATTTCAAGTATTTTGACCTCTATTCATCTCTTCTCTAACTATATAATATTTATGTAGAGTATACTTTTGCATGTAACTTTTATTGCTTTCTAAGAGATGTCTAATAGTCTGGTCTCATCAAATGGAGTATAATCTCCACTGGTTATAGCATCTTTTAAAAAACTTCTCACAGTGCTAATCTTAGAGTGTCAGTAGTGCCTTAGAGTAGACAGTGAATATATAACAAAGAATGGCTGAAACAAGGAATGAATTAACGAGTAGTGCTGCTCATGAAGGAATTGTTGGATGAGTTTTATTTTTAATCTTTAATTTTTTTCATGTTTATTTATTTTGAGAGAGAGCAAGAGCAGGAAAGGGGCAAAGAGAGAAGGGGGGAGGGAGAGAGAGAGGGAGAGAGAGAGAGAGGGGGAGACAATCTCAAGCAGGCTCCACACTATCAGCACAGATTCTAATGCTGGGCTCAATCTCAAGAACTCAAGGTCATTACCTGAGCCAAAATCAAGAGCCACAGACTCAACCAACTGATTCACCCAGGCACCCCTATTTTTTTATTTTAATGAGCATTTATGTATTGTATTTAAAATACATACATTATATTTTATATTTGTATATCTATTATACTTTTACTGCATTATATATTATCTTCTATTTATAAGTATTATGTTATATTATATTTTTGTGATATTTGTATTCCTAGTTCCCCATTCACATTGTTTTGCAGCTTCAGGAACCATAATACTCTCAGTTACCCTTTCCTGAGGTCATTTCATGCCTCAAGATTAAACAATTATAATGTCATTCTTTTGCCATGTAGACTCCTCAGGTATTCTTCCTGGGGTTCCTTTATCTTTTTTTCACACTTCTTTTTACAGGAAATTGTATGAATTAAAAGACCAAAACTAGGATTTGACTTATGGGCTGCAGAACTTTACAAAATACTCTCAGTATTTAAATGTTGCAGTCTTAACCAGGGTTTTCCAAACTTTTGGGTACCCACCAATCAGTTACTGGGCCTTGTTGACTTTCAGCCAGAAAACTCACAGAGGTTTCAGCACAATATGCTTTAGGGACTGTCTGGAATCATAATAGTTTTACTCCACATGTAATTCTCTGCAGGTGCAATACAGAGAGCATTTTGAGAAATATTAGTTAGAGATCAATTAAATGGAAATGTATGAGTATGTATGTAAAGTTATTAGTAGGCAAAATTGAACACCAGCAACCTGATAATCTATCTTCTTCTACTACTGTCTATAACATATTTTTTTTACCTTCACTCAACAAGAAATTCCGAGTTCCATAGCAGGTATCATTCCATTCATATCTGCATTCTCCACCAAAAACTACAGTTACAAAATTACCCCCACTCCAATCAGACTTTTCATTTACCAAGTCAAATAACACCCAGGGATTGATTTCATTAGTTAGAACATTAATAATACAATGCAAATGGCTATAGAATGGATGAAATTAGGCTCTTCAAATTGCCCTCTTTAATCCAAATTAATCTTCAATTGGTGCAGGATACTTCCATCTTTTTTTGTGATTTTCTTTCTCTAGCACTAGCCCATTTCCAGTCTGTAATTTGCCTAAGCCCCCTCCCATTACCCAATTCCTGATATGACTAGAAAACACACAGACAGACGCATATGCGTGCGTGCGCGCGCGCGCGCACACACACACACACACACACACACACACACACACCTGAATTTCAATGACAAATTTATTGTACTATTCCCTAGCCTTAAGTCTCATTAAACTGTTTGTTCTTGACTAAATTCATAAATAGTTTTAAACTTTCCTTAAGGCCAGTATGGTACAGTCATCCCTAAGTAGAAGATTGAATCGACACAGTGTATGCTTTATATAAAAGAACAAAAAGGGGCATCTGTGTGGCTCAGTCAGTTAAGCGTCCAACTTCAACTCAGGTCATGATATCACGGTATCATGAGTTCGAGTTCCGCATCGGGCATGGAGTCTGCTTCGGATCCTCTGTCTCCCTCTCTCTCTGCCCCTCCCTGACTTGTTCTCTTTTTCTCTCCCTCTCTGTCTCTCAAAAATAAACATTTAAAAAAATTGACTTGGACTTATAGTCAATCAACTCA